AGTAAGGCAAACAAGAAAGGACCACATAAATTTTCAAGAAGAAAGAAGTGACATATCCATGGAAGAAAATCATAAAGCACCCACAAGGTAAGGAACAAGTTGTTGAAGCTTATCATTGGACTAACTTGATTCGTTTTGATGTAATATCATCCTTTTTAGTCTTCTTATGTTTGGACTTGGACAAATTCTTCGTTCTTTCCAAAAGTGCTTCCAAACCCAATCACTTGGTTTGTTAAAATTGTGTTTGGATTTATATTTCCTCCACTTGGTACTTTGAATTTGCATTCTCCAACACAACACTTTGTCTTCTATGACATGGAATTGTTTGAAAGACTTATTGAACAAGTATTCCACAATGCCTTTCAACTTAGGTTTCTTTTGTTCATGGTTACCTACACAACAAGGAACAAGTTAGTATATTCAAAATCAAGATATATTTTATACTTACCTTGTAATACAATCTTTAGATCATGAGTAGATGATAGGATAACTCTCGTTGGTTCCATCATAGCTTCCACCGTGACTTGTGTTCGACCATGCTTGATTTGAAGAGTTGGAACTTCCTGCAAAAATCTTAGAAAAGTAGAAAGACTAGGATAAAATATGTGAGCTTGATAGTAAGGGTCCTTATTGAATGATGCTATATGATTTGGCTTATATTGATAAATTGATTGGATCTTGCTCTTTTCCTCTTCTTTCTCCTTTGAATTCCTTTCTCGTAACTCCTCTCTTTCTTTCTTTTCTTTCAACTCACTTTCATCAACATCAGAATCTTTGTTATCTTGTTCAATAAATTCATCAACATGTGCTTTAGATTCTTCCTCAAATTTTGCATCATATTTCTCATAAGCATCATTAGAATCAACGACATCATTTCTTATCACCATGACTTCTTTATTGACACATTCTTTGCTCATGTGTCCAAACCCTTTGCACTTCCAACATTTAACAGAATTAGTCTCCTCCCTTACCTCCTTTGGAACTTCATTGTTTTTGGCATTGAAGCTCTCGGCCTTCACTCTGTTGGCAGCACCAAACTTCCCTTTTGGTTGCATAAATTCATTCCTTTTGGAATGCTCCTTTTCTGTCCTCAATTGATCTTCAATTTTGATAGCATGGTGATACATATCATCTAAGTAAGGTGATGAATTTCTATCAATAGGATGACAATTTCCATATTCAAACCTCTAAGAAATCTAAACATGGTATCTTCTTCTTCTTCTCGGATTTTTGTCTTATCCATTAAAATCTTCATCTCTTGATAGTATTCAGCAACACTTTTTGTTTCCTGCCTCAAAGCTTGCAATTTAGTTTTCAAATCATTTTTATAATGTTTGGGAGCATATCTCTTTCTCATGGCTTTTTTGAGTTCTTCCCAAGTTTCTATTGGATCCTCCTCTTTCCTTCTTTTCTCGGATTTGAGAAATTTATACCATTCATTATCATGATTAATGAATTCGGCAATGACAAGTCTAATCTTCTTATTCTCACTATATGTATAGTAATCAAACACATGCTCTATCTTCCTTTCCCATTGCAAGTAAGCCTCGGGGTCCGCCGTTCCACTAAACGGTGGAATGTTGAGTTTAACTTCGCCATCTATTTTCATTTACTATTTCCCATCTCCTCAGTTGTATATTGTTGACAAAGTTATTCCTTCCTCTTCCTCCAACTTGTCTTTCTTGGACATCGAAGTCAAACACGCATTTATCTTCTTGTAAGACTCGTTATTCTCTTTGTTGTTGTGCCCTTCTTTCTTGCCTATCCTCCTTCATCATATCCATCATACCTTTAATTGCTTGAAGAATCGTCATATTTGGATCTTGTACTTGTGGTACTCCATCCTATGCCATTTTGTTAGAATAATAATAATAATAATAATAAGGACCTTACCACTCACCTCACCAAGATTTCACTCAAGGACACTCGTGTTTATCACTCAATGGTAGGCTTTTGGTACTAGGTCGAAGATATAAGGGTTGACTTAAATTTTGGTGCAATCTTGCTTAAAGCTTGATATAACTAATTCAATGATCAACTCTCACAAACTAAGACTTAGAGTGACTCAATCTTAGAATCAAAACCTCGAGAATTGAACAAAACACTATCAATGATGAAAACTTTTCATGTGCCTCGAATCTTTGAATATTTTTTTTTCTTGCTATTGATTTTTTTTTCTATCTTTTGCTACTGTTTTTTTTTTCTTTTGCTTCTAATTCTTTTTTTTTTATGATGATCTGAGTGCAAAGATTAAAGAAATTCAAGACAAGTTGTAGTATGTCTTGTTACACTTTGTAAGAAACTACTTTCGAAAAAGAAAAATAGCAGAAGATAAAGTTACATAAAGTAAAGATATTTCACCTCTAGAGTCGGCCAAAGGATGTCAACCAATGCTCTGATACCAAATGATAAGTGCCAATGTTGCTCAGGTTTACAAAGCTAGAGGTCCTTCTAGGATCCTTGCAAACTCTCACAAAAACAACTAACTTACCGAATGATTGCAACCAAGAGTAAGGTTAGAATAAGATGAATCACTCTAAGATCAGACTTATAATCTACAATGGTCACTTCTAGATCCTAAGACGACTCACTCCAGAATTAGCTTGATCGAGACTAATCTAATGAATCGGTTTAACATCAAACCTAAAGCATGATTTGAAAGAAGCAACACCAAATGTGTTAAGGAACAAAAATTCTTGAATTTCAATCTGTTAAATCTGCGAAAACAAGGTGATTACAAGCCTTTAAATAGGCCAAAAAGTCGTTCAAGAAAGGAATATCAAAAGTCTTTCAAAATCCTACTTAATGCAAATTGAAGAAAATAACACATGCAAATTAAAACTTGATTGCACATCAAACTAGAAAACTAAATGCGAATCCAAAAACGTAGAATGACTTTAAATTGTTTTGGAAATCACATGTAGGAAGCGCTTCACATTTGGATGAGTTTTGACAAGCTTTAACCTACAAATTCCCAAGAGGTGCAATCTGCAAAGGCACCTATTCACAAATCTGCACATTTTTTTTGTCCTCCGTGCCATCTCTCAAAATAGACAACTTTTCCCGTGTCATCTTTGCTCCATTCTCTTCTTGACTGATTAAAGTAACATTGTAAAGAATTTTGGCCTCATAAACCTTCGTCTCTTCATGTGCATTAGCTAGCCTTTGAAGATGTAATATGAAAGCCTCTTGACTCTTCTTTGCTTTGCTTCTTGTAATTGCTCCCTCGGGTACATTCAATGGATCCGTGGTTGGATTTGCATCAGTATCATCCCCACAAACGGCGCCAATTGTTGATTCTTGGATTCTGGTAGACCGGTTCACTTCACAATGTGCACCAAACTCGAATCTCAAAGGACCGTATACCTGCAAAATCGAACAACCCTAAATCGGTGTGACTTCTGTCACACTGGCTCCAATGCCTAAGTTAGTTATGGGAGAAATCATTAAGCAAGTAAGACACTTGAAAGTGTAATTTGGCTTACCTTTAAGGGGTGACCCCTACCTATTTATAGTCGATCTTCCCCCTAGGGTTTCATAAAATGCCAACCCTAGGTTTGATACACGTGGGCCTATGGGCCGGGACGCCTCTAACAGCGGTAGAGGAATAAGGACGGGTCTCGGCACCGAGCAGGGGTCGGAGCTGAGACCTGCTCGGTCCGGCCCGTCCTTCGCAGGTTATTTTGCCTGGCCTAATCTCTCCCTCGCTTGTCGTTTTTTACCTCATAACACCTCCCATAGACTGAAAAGAGATTTAGAGGAGTCTAAGAAAGTTATGTTATTGAGCTCCAACCAGGTGTTCCACAAAAGAAAAGCAGTTGCATTACTCCACAAAGAGAGCGGGAGAGAGAAACACTCATGTATAAAGTACGAAATACATTCCCGTCGCTTAAGGGACGAAAGTTTATTTCATCGCTGCAGCGACGAAATTAAATTTTGTCGCTTGAGGGACAAATATATTTTCATCGCCTAAAACTTGTGATGCGCCCATTTTTGTCGTTGGAGACCAATAGCAACACTGCTCTAGCGACTATCCTTACGTCGTTTTGTTTTTCGTTTCTAATTGAGACCAATGACGCAGTTATGCTTCAACAACTTTTTTTTTTTTTTTTTTTGCAGTGCGGAGAGCAAGAACAACTTGAAAGGTCTAAAAAAGGCGGGCCTATAGAGCCACAATGAAGGGACAATGAAGAAGCAGATGGTCCAGAGATTCATTGGAAGATTTGCAGAGAGTGAACCAATTGGGACTGATATATAGGAATGATAGGCAGCTTTGGAGCTTCGATCTCCTATGTATTAATGGATCGATGAAAGATTAGCAAAATAATGCATTTGTAATAAGCTAAAATTAAGAAGAAAAAAAGGGTATAATAGTAATTACAATATATATTATTCTTATCCTAAAAAGAATATAGGTCAAATTCATCATACATCATATTTATAACGGCTGCGGTGAGTATTATTTCACACTTCTGCAAAAATGAGAAGGTAGTTCGAAATTACAAATAACTATAAGTTTTTTTTGCAAGTGTCCCTCAATAAAACTATAAAACTAGTAAAATTAAGGGGTTGAAGTTTGAAGTATTAACACAACGATGAGTGTTGTTGTAGTCGGTTTGTGGCCGAATGGAGATACCTCCTCCCTGCTTTGAACCCGGGTGCTTAGTCCATTGATTCCGGATTATCAGGAGAAAGAAATTGAAGTATTAATGGATGGAGTATGTTTTAAGTAGTGGACATATTTTCGTAGGAAAAGATTTGATTAATTTAGTTTCCCTACCAGGGCCGTTTGTCCCCTCTGCATCTGCCCCATGCATTTAAACTAAATTTAAGTGCCAACCACTGAACTAATTGGACTGTCCGTTCGTCTCTTTTACTCAATATGAGTTGTTCCATCTTCTTTTATGTCTTTCTTGCTTTGGCTATCTGCTATATATATGGCGTTGTACGTTCCATCTTCACAAGTTTAAAACCATTTGGTCAATAATTTCGAGATCAAGATGGACGTGGATCGAATCAGCCTTCTACCAGATTCTCTTCTCCACCACATTCTCTCCTCCTTAAACACAAAACTCGCTGTCCAGACTTGTGTTCTATCCAAACGGTGGAGGAGTGTTTGGTTTCGTATACCAACACTCAACTTTGATTTTGACTCCTACCCATTTGAAGAGTCAACTAGAAACAATCCCAAATCCAAAGAAAAATCGTTTAAGCGCTTCATCTTCAAAGTTATGTCTGAACATCGCGGATATATTCAAAAATTGAGTTACTCTTCCCCCCGTTTTCACGGAATGAATGTAATGACATTGTCTATATGCTATGCACAATGCCACAATGTTAAAGAACTTTACATTACAGCGGACAGTTATGATAGCACGATTTGGTGTTTATCGGCATGTGATTTTCTCACCGTACTAAAGGTGTCACACGTGCTGGTTTACCATGACTTGGGATCCTTGGTGTTACCATGTTTGAGAATTCTAGTGGTTGAAAGCTTGTGGAAGAAGCCCGGGTACGACGACGACGGTGGTGGTGGTTATGGCCGTGAACAACTAAATGAAGAGACCTTTTTAGGTTGTCCAAATTTGGAATGTTTGACTTTGATTAATTATGGTGATCTGGAAAGTACTTGTATCTCTGCTCCAACACTTGAGAGTTTGGAGATAGGTGCTTCTTCACATTGGGAATTAACATTTCCAAAACTTAAATTATGTACACCAAATCTCAAACGTGCCAAGTTTGAGAATGTTTTGCCGTTTTTGAGGTATGCTAATTCGCCCTTGGCTTGCATAGAAAAAGTAAATATAGCCGTTGATGACAATGATTTCAAGAGGCATGGCGCACGTAGGACAAAGATGGGGATAAATATCACTCGATTGCTTAAAGTTTTCGATAACGCAACGTCTATTACACTGCCTTGTGATGCAACACAGGTATCTAACATTTCGTTCTCTTCAAATTTTATGCCTTTATTATTTCACAGCATTTTCTAACTTTTTGTACTTATCTTGTTATAAGGTTATATTTAAAGAAGCTGGATGTCCTTTGAGTGGTTATGAGTTTCCTAATTTGAGAGACTTGAAGTTCAAATCAGAGGAGACCAAAGAGATGATAGACTTGCCAATTGATTTGAACCCAATTTGGGATTTCATGGAATGCCCAAATTTAGAAACTCTTGCGGTTGATTCAAGAATAGCTACATCATTCACCCAGGATTTACAGGAAATATTACAATTCCAACGTCGAGTTTGGGGCAGGAATATTTATAGGAATCAAATTGTCGAGCGGATTTATTTATAGTTGTGTATTTGAATGGCTTGAATCTGCTAAATGACTGGCGAGGGAGGACGTCATTTTACTACCTTCTTTTCTCTGATTTTGTGATTTCCTACTTGCTGGGTCATGTTATTTTTCCCTTCTAATTTTTTTTAAAAGTTTGATGATAAATTTGTTTTATCTCTCCTACTTTCTTCCTCGCTTTGTCCCCACGCCCACTTCCCCCATTTCTCTATTCTTTTTTCTTTTTCTTTTTTTCTCTTTGAACATACTTTTATCTCCACCTTTGCAACTCCCTTTTCTCTCTCTTAATTCCCTCATTATCTTTCTTTCACCTTCACTCTTCCTTAATTTTTTCTCCGCACATCTAAATAACTATTTATCTCTTATTTTGTTTTTTTTATCTTTTAAAATTATAATTCCACTTAATTTCGTTAGAATATGAAAAGTTTTATAATCTATTTCATCTAGTTTTTAATCACTTGTAGAATATGAAGTGTTTTTTCTTCCTCATCTCCCTCCAAAACGTCATCAATCTATGTATTAATTATGGAACTTGAGAGGTGTTCTCAGCCAATCTCTCATTTCTATATATTTCTTGAGGCTTCTAAAATGAATCAATGACTATAGAGTTCATCATCCTATGAAAAGCCCCTCATCAACCAATTTAATAAGAGTCGTCGTAATTGTTAATCTATATTCCACGATGTATTTGGTTCGGCTTAATTTTATTTTAATTGTTTTGGTTAAAAAATTACATTATTTTATTAGTTTTAACGTAAAGTTTTAATTAACTTAAATTTCAAAAAAGATAGTTTTGTTTTAAAAGATTTTGATTTTATAAAAATATGTAATAAAAAAGGTTTCTTTACTAAAACTGATTTTGATTATGTTTTCCTTGTCAAAACTCTATAACACGGCGTTTTCTTCTTCATCTTCCTCCTTTTTTTCTCTATTCTTTTTTCCCCTCCCTTTCATTACCGTTGCAACTTTGCATCATTTAGGATGGGGCAACACACAGAAAACAAAAACATGGAACATTGAGAGCAAAGTAAAAGATGAGGAAATTTTGAAGCAAAAATATTTTACATCTGTTTACTAAAAAAACTCACAATTGTTATTGTTTTCTTAAACACCAAAGTGTCTCTTCTTCTTCCTTTCCTTTCCTTCTCTCTCTAAAAACCCCACCCTCTTACCTTTTTATTTTTTGGGTAAATTGTACAAACCACCCTTAAATTAAAGTACGATGATTGTTACAATTATACCCCTCAAACCTTCAATTCTAAAAATTAAACCCTTAAACCTTTACAAATGTAAAAATTAGACCCATAAACTTTCAAATGTAAAAATTAAACCTTCCCAAATAAAAAAATTGGATTCTAAACTTTCAGTTAAAAAAAAATTAAACTCTTAATTCGTTTTTAAATAAAAAAACTAAATTTATTTTTCTTTTCTTTTCTTTTTTCTACTCTCTCTTCTTGGATTTTCCTCTCTACTATCGCTCAAAGAGAACTTGTGGTTTCTCCTTCGTCCTTCCTCTATCTTGCAGTACACATTCCTCCATCTTGCAGTACACATAGAAAATTGTTGCCCTATATGATCTTCTCATTTTTCCCCAAAATCTCCAATTCCAAATTCCAGCATGCCACAAAAATTCTCTCACCATCGTCACCATGGCCCCCAAGAACACGAGTTATAGAAACTTTTTTCTTTGTTTTGAGAGGCCGATGCATCGGTCATGTTTTTTATTTTCATGTTGAATAAGATAGTTGAAGTTGTTTCTTTTAGCTTGAGTTTAATGTTTGGTTAACTGTTTAGTTTTGTTTAGGTTCCTATTTAAAGAATTATTTAAAGTTGTGAATTTACTATTCTTTTGAGAACCATAGTTTTGGTTATCTATTCGGATTGTGGATTTGAAGTTTATTGAAGTTAGCTATCATTGTGTTGTTCCAAGGTGAAATGAAACTAGTGTTGACTTCGTTGATAAGAGTTGTTTAGTTGATAATTTATGAAACTTAGTAAGGTTGCTTGGTTGAGGTCATGGAATAAAGTGTAGTTATTTTCTTGATTGTATTGAGTTGAATAAGATGTTTTAGTAACGTGCCCCATTTGAGTTGTTTGGAATTTGGGGGCGTTACAGATCCAGTCATACCCTAGATTCTGGTTTTGCCCTGGATCGGGTCATGACCAGTTATGTAGTTTGCTTGTCAGGTCTTTGCAGTAGCTTTGTCCTTCCGTGGACCTCGGACCGACGTAGGTTCCTTTTCTTTTTGTTGTTCGAGTTTTTCAAAAAAATGGGGTTGTGTTCTGTTGAAACACTCCCTTGACTTTTCACAACTGCCAGTTTGTCTTTTGGATGCTTTAGAACTTCATCAAGTTGCTTTCTCCATTATGAGATTTGTTGATCGTTTCTCTCGGAACCTATTTTAGAATCTATCGATTTACCTAATCCAAGATCTCTCCTGGAACTTGTCGATTTGCTTGCTCTAGGTCCTGCCCCAGAACTTGTAGACTTGCTTTGCCCTAGACCTCATCGGGTATGAGCAGTTATTCTCTTCTTCTTCTGCTCGGCATCGAGGAGGTCGCCATGTGCCGGCCTCTTTTCTTGGTTCGTGCCTACTTCTTGGTCTTCTTTCGGCCCTCTCTCGTTTCGCTGGATATTCTATTTCTCCCTATAACAGGCATCATTCGACGTTTGAGAATTGGCTCCTTGTGACGATCCTTCTCTAGCATTGTTTAGCCCGTTCATTGTTTCTTGCAACTGACTTAATTGAGCCATTGCTTATTTAAGTAGGCTTTGTTGCGTTTTTACAACAGATTGTAATTGAACGATTTGAATTATTGACTCTCTATTTCTTTGAGAACTTCATTCATTCTGAGCCGTTAACGTCGGTGGTCCCCATCCAAGTGTACCTCGCTTGTCTAGTACTTGAACACTGATTTTTCGAGCTGAAGGAGGTTATGCACCTTCTTCCATTAGTGCATTTTCGAGTTTAACCATTTGTTCCTACAATGTTCATAAATAATATTAGTACACGTAAAAGAATACAAATATCAAATAAGCGCATGCCGTTTTACCTACATGTTTTTGACTAGCCACCGGGCTCACCCACTCGTTGTTCGCTCTTTTGTGTGTTACTTCGAAAAGTTAAATGTTATCTACCTCTCATCTCTCTTTGTTTTTCTACATAATTCAAACAAAGTTATGAGCAGTGAAATATTTTTGAAGTTATAACAAGAAAAGAGATACATACAATATTTTCTATGTGATGTAAAAATGCGATCGTTCCTACTGTATGATCGTACGGTACAGACGCTCGAGATCTAGTGTTTGTTTTAGAAATTGTCTGAAATATATATAATAGTTAGTAGGAAAATAATTAGAATAAAATTAATTCATATCTGCAATACATACCCCAAACTTCTTCGTTTCCCAGCAATCGTATAAGCGATGCCAATMTTCATCTCGTGGAATATCTTTATGTTTGTGATTTCGTGCTTCTTCTGGGGAATATTGCATGTAGTGTTTGTGCAACCTGTACCAGAAATCTGTATGCCTACTACTCATTTCATGCTCCAAATAACGATAAACAATTGGACTATTGAGATCGAGAATGAATTGGTTTTAACAATAAACAATAAAAAGACGACGTGTTAATGATAATCACAATATAAACGAAAATTTTAAAAATGCCACTAAATGAAACTTACTCGAAGTCTATTTATGATATTGTTTTTATCGTCTTGGTTGACATCTGACCAATGTTCACAGTTCAGAGGAACGATTGACTGCACCCAGACCCCAATTTGAGAGACCACTTTCAAACTATGCCTAAAAACTGGCTTGTCATCCTCTTCTTCGATATGAATTTCTATAAGACCATGCTCTTGGACATATTTATCAACATTCAGCCCTCCACTGTTATGTCTACCTTTTCTTTTAGTCATTCCAGAACCTACACGAAAGATATTAGATATTTATATATTTAAGTTTAACTTGGAATAAAAAAGGATTTCTATTTAAATATATACTCTGTGATGCTTGATCAATCTCTTCCGGTTGAGTGCCTTATATTCTATCGACATTACTTGTGTAACTCTGTCGGTTTCCTGGTCCAAGATTTGAAGACGACATCCTGTAACATAATAATGGACAAAATCAAACTGTAATTAATAATAGGTCGAAATAGAAAAATAATGTAAATATAAGACGAAATATTACATGCATATTTATCATCTTACAAATTTCAAACTCATAAACTTCAGAATCAATATCCAAAAACTACACTTCAAAATCCATCACCAAACTAAGTTTTATGGCAAAATCTCACAGTTCAAAGCATTAAATAAGAACCAAATAACACACACTACTAATTTTGTTACACTCCATTGCAATAATTAATTAAGATTCGCACATGAACAAATAAAGAACTTGAAGCTAATCTAAATATATAGTTTCAATCTAAATTAAGCTGAAATTCTCATGAATCAATAGTTTGGACCGAATCAATTCAATTTCTAAAAAGAATTTAACTAATATTCACACGTGAAGAAAGAAAGTTTAAGGCTTAGGCTTTGAGGCTCCCGAA